GTTCAAGGGATTGCAAAAGGTCTACCTTGTTTTTAATAAACTCCAAAAATTCATCGAGACTAGGCAACTCATTATTATATTCTAACTCTTTCCATTCCCTCAAGCTAGTCTTATCCAGTTTATTAGAAAGCAAATATATCACCAATGAATCATATAAAATATCAGGCCCTAAATTCATACCCGATATGGCTGTTAAATGGTTTGTTATTTGATCCAAAATATAATTAAATTGACTGAAATTCTCTCTATTTACATGAGGGATTTTTAAAAGTAATTGAAAATGTGTGTCTAATAAAAATTGTTTTTTATCGAATTTGTCGCATAAAGTTTTCCAAGCACTTTGGAAGGGTTTATCCGTACCTTCAAGGCCTTCAATAATCCTAGAAGCATAGTTTTCTAACGATGCTTTCAAGAACTGAAACGTTTGTGATTCATTTAGAGATTTGTTATCACATATAATTGATATAAAATCATGTTTAAAATTAAGCCATTGTTCAAAATTGCCTGAAAAAGATGGTAGCTTTAATTTAGGCAACAGGATATTCTGTAAAGGATCAAAGCTAGAACTTGGAGCTATTTGTGTTACCGGGGCAGTGGATTCATTCGTAGGAGCTGATTGATAATTTAGCTGAATAAATTGAGTTAAAAAATTCACGGAAATGTAATATTTATCTTGAAAACACTCTCGTTCTTTATAATGAACTTCTAAATCTTTTTCTTCACAAATTGACTCTATCGTAAATTGAACTTTGTCAAAATCTTGTAATAACATAGAACCGTCTTTAAATCGAAGCTCTACATCATTAAAAGCGGGCTTTCTCTCAGGTGAGGATGTTTTAATAGTATTAATATATTTTTCAAAAATAGTTAACTTTTGTTTAATTGATGCTCGATTACGTATTAAACGTTTTAATTCTTTCCTATTTTCTTCCGACTGGAAGTCATCCTCATTATCACCGTCCATTATTAATTAATTAATTGAATGGCTTTAATAATTGCTCTCACAAAAGCCTGCAAAAAAAAGGTAATATTGAAAAATAGGTAATGTAAAAATAGGTTAAATAGGTAATGTAATAATAGGTAAAAAAATAAATAAAATTGCACCAGCTTTAAAAATACAATTATAACAAATTTACCTCATCAAAATTGGCCAACTCTCAAACTAACAACTTACCAGCCAGGTACACAAATGAATTCTGCGCACCACCTTACATCCAATAAAATTCAAACTCAAAAAATTACTTCTTCTTGCGGTTCACCAATCAAAACTTGATGGACAAAACAGCTTCTTGTTTTGTCGATTCGAGCAAATACAGGATTCTCTAATGACTGTCTTCTTCGACTTCCGCCTTTTTTCGAGGAATCGAACCAAAATAATCGCCTAAATCCGGCTCGAAGGACCAAATGTTTATGTTCAACTTGATACTGGTTCAAGTAATTTTGTTCTGGATGGAATGGAAGAGAAATAATGATAGGACGACTTGAATGTTCTTAAATTGAGGAATAGAATTTTTTAAATTGTGACAAATTTTATTTTCTGACAAATCTATAATTGATTGATATATGCCACCAACCTGCGGGTAGTGGCCAAAGCATTCTATAAATACAATATTAAACAATGTCCACAAACGACATTCAAGACGTCTTTTAGACGTCTGCTTACGTCTTCAAGGCTTCTTAAAGACATCTGAAATAGGGCGTATGTTACAAAACTCAACGTCATTTAGACTTCTGCCTAAACACGTTTTCAGCAGGACTAATATTTTATTATTATCACTTATCTTATAACTTCCAGTTCTGTCTATTCCAAACACTAGGGTCTTAAATTCTTGATTTCTTTAAACGAAAACATACGAAAAATTCATTTTGGAAGGAAACCATTTGAAGAGACAGGACTGAAAATTAAAAAACAAATCAAGAGCTTGGAATAGAAAAGGTTATAAGAATTCAAGAATTTGAATTGAAAGAGGAACATTTTCTTGTTAATATTTTCCTATTATTTATGACTTATTTTATAACTTTCAATTTTCGTCTATTCCAGGCATTAGGCTCTGAAATAATTCTGAGGTTTGTCTAAAGTGTTCTAACTTGGCTTGAAGAGTTCTGGAGCATTCTAAAAGTTTTTCAGTAATTTCAAAATTGGGAAGTCCGCTCCTTTGAAGAATCCATGTTAAATTTCAATATGTTCTGACAGATTTTTAAGTATTTTAAAGCCCTATTGAAGTTCTAAAGTGAAGTTGAATTGGTTTAAAAGCATTCTAAAAGGTTTCCAGTTCTAAATTGAATCGTTATTGTTCTAAAATATCTCTGAAGTTTCTAAATTGTTCCAAAATGCTCCATTCTAATAATGCTTCTGAAGATCTCAAAATGTTTTGAAGCGCTACAGAATGCTTTTGGAAATTATATTTTGAATTTTAAGTATTTTGAACTTTCGAAAAGGCTTATTATTAAAATTCTAGTGTTCAAAGCATTCTTAATGGTTTCAAGTAACTTCTAAAATTGGATGAAAAACGAATTCTGTGGAAATTTTCGTAGACATCTTAAATACGTTCTTACGATGTCCACCAAACGATATTCAAGATGTCTTGCTTACATCTTTAGGGCGTCTTAAAGACATCTTGAAGACGTATGTTACAGAACCCAACGCCTTACAGACGTCTGCCTTTACAACTAACGCATTCTAAAGACGTCTTCAAGTCTTCAACGAGATTTCTAAAGGAAGTCTTTGAATCTCTTTTGATTATATGAACCATAATTCACTTTTAGGCCTGGTTGTACGAAATAGTGTGGCTCAGTTGTTCTCAAAATGTGAATTTAGGACATCTTATTATGGGAGTTTTTAGACTTTTTTTTTTGGTCTTCAGACGTTCAGATGTAATGGAGAAGGCAGACCTAAAAAAGACTTTGTGTGCTGTCTGAGTCTGGGTAGTTTCCTGCCGGAATGTTTCTCTTGTCATACGTGTTTTTGCTCCCTCTCAACAAAAATATTTAGATTTTTAATTTTATTGAATTTTTCTTCCATTAAATGTAGTTTTTCATTTTGCACAAAAAAAAAACATATAGTCTGGCAAGTGGTAACTTGGTAGAGACGAAAGGGGGAAGAAAAGTTTGGCGTAACCTAAGAATATTCACTGACACCTCAACTGACACCGCCTGATGACAACCATGTCTTTGGGTTCAGTGGCACCGAAAATACCAGGGAAATGAAGCAAAAAATTATTAGGAAAAAAAATCTTGAGTTTCACCAATAACCACTCCACTGGTGCTGTCGTTCAGGCTCTAGCCAATAAAATCATGCCTCTGAATAATTACGCCTCTCCACATCCTTCATTTCGCAATGCTGCCGGATTTTATTCCATTTCAAAATGCTACACATACTCATATTGCAAAAAAAAAATATGTCACCAACTTGTTTATTATTGTTTCTGTCAAGTATGGCAAAGCAGCAAATTCTTTTGGAGTTCGCCGTTTCGCTAGCCAGACAATACTTATCTGAGTTTTTTTTAGATGTTTTGAAAAATTCCATGTTGCCAAATGAAATAAATGTCAATAACTTTCTCGTTTTTCAGCGAATACTCTTGATATTTCTTTCGATATAGGTAACTTTTGATTCTCCACAAAAAAGTTCTCTTGAGTTTTTTTGATATAATGCATACTTTACGAAATATTCAATAAATTCCAAAAAAATCAATATGGCGGCCATTTTTTTCCAAGTTCCACCAATGCGACAAAGTGCGATTTTTGAGGGATTAATAAGGACCCTATTGACTACTCATTTCCGCAGAGATCACCTTGTTAATAATTTTTTTCTACCCCAACCACCTATTTTGACTAGCCTATAATATCCACACAAAATTTCAGAAAACTCCGCCGACTTGAAAAAAATATGCCTATTCAGAGCCAAATTGGGTTCCAGTTAAATTTGGCCCACGCAGTGTATATTAATATAGCTTCTAATGGTATAAAGTTTAATACGTCTCCCCTGGGTCCACCACTGCCAATAATTGTCCAAGATTTTTGAAATGTATCGTTGAAATAAAATAAATCTGTAACAAAAAGTAAATAAAGTTTGTTTGTTGAATTTTTGCCGCGCTAACGGATAACATTCCAACCTGCAGCTGGGCTCTGTTTAACATTTTGACGCACCGTTCAACATTCAAGTTCGGATTTCGGCACTCCGCATTAATTGGCGGTCTGAATTCAAACTGACCAATGAAATATGCCTAGGTGCCGAATCTTATACCGGAATGTTTAGATGCTTTTCGGTTTCATGGTACCTAATTTCTGGAAGAAAAAAATTGTCTAAAACGATCATATAATAATAAACTTCTTCTAAAACGTGTTTTCCTAGAGTAATGAATGTTGTAGGTTCAATTTGATTAACGTCTTCTTGTCTTTGGGCATTATTTTTTGGTCTGCTTCTACCATCATAATCAATTCTGATATGGATCTAAAGTGCTCTACCTGTGATAAGGCCTGCCCGGAGATTCTAAAATCACGATTCGACATACGACTCGACAACGAGACGATTTTTCCGACGATTCTAGGTTAGAAATCTCATTGGAATTATACCTTTCGAGACGACAAGGCCGGTATCGTTATCGAGTCGTGTGTCGAATCGTGATTTTAGAATCTCGGCCTTCTAAAAGGAGTACAAAAATGAGCTCTTTGGCTTACCATGTGATATTTGTCGCAAGATTCTATGCAGAAGTTGCTCTGGAGTAAGAAGCTCTGAGATCCGAGTTCTCATAATGAAAGAACGCTGCCTGAGATATTTTTGTCCATGCTGTACGTACTGTTTTCAAGCACTGCCGGGATTAAGCTCAAGACTTCACGATTTGGAAGCAGAGGTGGAAAAAGCTCAAAACCGACCAAAGAGTTGGGCTATCCAATCAGAATTGTGTTATCCAGGATGATGTAGCAAAATTAGATAAGTAAAGGTTTTTCTCCTATTCCTTCCTGCCAATGGCCAGCTTACTATGGAGGGTATTAAAAACGGAATGGCGCCACCGATTACTGAAATTCTTGAGAGGATTCTTGATGGTCAGGCTGAACTCATTTCAAATAGGCTGGAAGGCACCTGCAAAGCCTTTCTGGATTCTAATAAGGAACTTGTTGCATTTTTGTCCAAGTCCTATATACCACTACTATCTTTAACAAAGGAACATTCTGCTGGAGTACCGGCCTGTCGGGAGGATAATATGTTAGGGAAACCGGTTGATTCTGCACAGCTCCGCGCCTCGATAGCAAAATCTGTTCAGACAAAAAATAGCAATAAACCTACAATATTTACACCATCACAGGTAGGCCGGACTGTTGATGCTGGTTTTGCTCACATACACTCAGCAACTAATAAAAGTAGTTCGAAGGTTGCCAAGAATGTAGTATCTGGAAAAAACACAAACAACTTGAGTATAACTGCCGCAAAGCCGTGTAAATGGTTTTATGTTGGAAACCTCAGTTCTGATTGCACTGTTGACTCCCTGAGGTCTCATATGGTTGATGTGGGTCTGTCAACCATGGGCTGTGAGAAACTAAAATCTCAGCAAGATCATATCAGTTGTTTTTAATTAGCTGTTCCAACTGAGCAGGAGTCAGTGATTTTGAGTAGCAATAAATAGCCGCTAGATGTCATAGTTAAGCCAAGGAGACAAAAGAGCTTGCCTGGCTCAAGAAATTTCCACAGGGGCTATCAAGGCCGAACATCTCACAGATAGGAAAACAACCTGATGGTTCAATGTAGTTTCATCACCAGAATGTTAGAGGTCTTTGAGCAAAGCTTCAATCAGTAAATGTGTATTACCAGAACATCAGGGGTTTGAGATCGAAGATTCATGAACTCTCACAATAAATAGCTCTCGTAGACTTTGAGGTGATAATGTTTTCGGAGACATGGCTTCATCAGGATATCTTGGATGGTGAGCCTGGGGTTCCACAATTATACAGTGTTTCGTTGTGACCGTTCAGGAGATTCCAGTCAGCATCAACGCGGAGGTGGTGTGCTTGTGGCTGTTGACAAATCCATTACAACTAAGCAGATAAGTACATCTGTCAATAACGTTGAACACCTCTTTGTGTTGATGTATTTTAAAAACTGTAAGCTACTGTTAGGTAATATATATTTTCCACCTAGCTCTCCACTAGAATGTATTCCAGTTAAATGATGTCCCTAATGCAACTGGATCAAGTCTTGATCTGGTCTTTTGTGATATTGAAAGTGTTTGTGTTGAACTTTGTGATCAATCAATGTTATTATCCTGTGATAAATATCATCCAGCAATCAATTTCTATGTACCACTAGATAAAGTAGATGCTAATGTTATGATTTATAAATATGAGTATTTTGATTTTAAAAGAGCTGATTATCACCAGCTAAATTCATATTTGTGTAGTTTTGCTTGGGATTATATTCTCAATGTTGAAAGTATTAATACAGCCATAGATAGTTTTTATGATATACCTAGTTTACACTGGTTTGGAAATGTATGGTTCCTAAATGTAGGGCTAAAAATAAAGAGTTTCCAAACTGGTATAGCGAAGAGCTTAAGTCTATATTGAATAAGAAAGAAAAACATACACTTTGGAAACAATCTCATGACTTAGAAATTTATAAGGAATTGTGTAGCTTAAGATCCATAAGTAAGAACTTGATGAATGAATGTCACAAAAATTATATCAACATTGTCCAAGATAACATTATAAGTAATAGTAAAATGTTTTGGAAATATGTTCACTTAAAAAATGACAACCCAATAGCATGAAGTATAATGATGTTTTTTCTGAGTGTCCTAAGGAAATTAAATTTGTTTGCTCAACACTTTGGGTCTGTATATAAGAGTAAAGATTGTACAACACCAGTTATTGGGTTTTTGTGATATTGCCTTGCTGGATATTTTTAATTCAATTGGGAGTCTTGATGTGCACCTTGCGGCTGGACTAGATTTTTTGCCTGTGGTATTCATCAAAGAATGTAAATGTGTTCTGTCAAATATTTTGCTGAAAGTTTTTAGGTTATCCTTATCAACTGGTACTTTTCCAGACTGCTGGAAAATCTCACATATTACTCCGCTATTTAAATCAGGCGACAGATCATTGGTTGATAATTATAGGCCTATCTCTAAAGTCAGTATTTATTGCCCCAAAAATTTTCGAATCTATAATCAGTGATACAAACAGCATGGAGTTGTGAAAGGCCGCTCAACTTTGACTAATTTGCTAGTCTAGGCCTTTGACAGGGTGCACCATGGAATACTTTTGCATAATTTGGAACTATTTGGGATTCATGGAGTGATGCTGTCATGGTTTAAGAGTTATCTAGTTGATCGGGAACAATTTGTAAAAATTTAAAAAAATTTATCTTATGAAATTGATGTCTCTCAGGGATCTCATCTGGCTCCTCTACTGTTTAATGTTTTTATTGATGATCTTGTTGCTGGTCTGGATTTTGGATGTAATTTATTGTTTGCTGATGATTTGAACATGTTTATGAGAGTGGAAAATGAGTGTCGCAAAATGATATTCATAAACTTTATTCCTGGTGTAATGCTAACTGTATGGAGTTGAATGTAAAGAAATTTAGTGTTTTGACAATATCCCGAAAAAGAAATAACATACTCTTTCCCTATAATATCAATAATCTATTTTTGGAGAGAGTTCATAAAATCAAAGATCATGGAATTTATATGGATTATGGATGATGAATAGACCTATCTATTTTTACCTGGTATGCGCGCGCAACACGAGGCAATGTATTTTTATTGGCTAGGTAATACAGGTGTGAGGTGATCGTTTTGCACGCTGGGCATCTCTTTATCCTTGTTCATTTCACGTGGTCTGACAAGAATAAATCTAAAGTTGATATTCAACTTGACAAGTGTCATTCAAAAGTTGTTTGACATTTTCATTGACAAATACGTTGCACATCACGCGGTTTTTCTCCTTTCTTTTTTATCCTGTGCTAATAAGAAGGACGGATTGCTATACGTAAGTCTAACATAATTTGGTACGTTTTGCCTCGTCTTGCGCAATGAGCGTTCTGTGTCTTTTTTTATTTAATGAAGATTTCGTATTATTACCTCTTTGTCTGGTAAAATAGATAGGTCTATTGCGATTTGATTACCACATAAACTTTATCAAGAATAAGGCACTGAAAATGTTGGGTTTTGTTGCCAGAACACTATCAAAATTTGATGATGTAAATTGCTTTAAGGTACTGTATTGTAGCTATGTTAGATCAGGTCTGGAATCTGCATGTTCAGTTTGGTCTCCTTTTTATAACACCTATGTGAATGACTTAGAAAAAGTTCAAAGAAAATTCTTAAGACTTATTAACTTTAAGTTGGGCATTCCAATTGATGATATAAACTATGGCGAACTCTGCAAACTTCTCAATTTGCAAACATTGAGGTCTAGAAGGACACAGTTTGAAATATGTACTCTTCATAAAATCTGTAATAATATAATCAATTGTCCTGAGCTATTGGAAAAAGTTCCGTTTAGAATTCCTCGAGAATAACTAGACAAAATGAGATTTTTGGTATAGGTTTGCACAGGATTAACTATGGTTTGAATAATCCTATGTGTAGAATGTGTAATGTAACCAGGGTAATTAATGAGCTTGATATTGATTTTTTCAACATAAGTTGCAATACGCTTATAGACCGAGAGCTCATAACACAAAAAAGTTAGTCATTTGTAACAGGTATGGCGACCCCCTAGGGGTCGAATTACGTAATGAGGAAAACGAAGATGATAACTTTCTTGCCGTTAGGCCCTTATCGTATGGCAATTAATCGAACTTTTCAGAAACATTGCGGGTTTCAAACGATTTGTAACACAAAGATTCTTGTATTTTTCGATAGTTTATGAAAATTGAACTAGTCGAAAGCAAAATGCCATACTTATCCGGTGGGGCTTAAAGCCTGCCATACCCTCGGCTATACCCGTCGGCGCGCGTTAGTTTTTATTATTTTTTTAGATTATTTGTAACAAGTTATTTTTTTTTTAACTGATCATTTTTGAGGAGTCATTCACGAAAATCACCATGCCATACCATTCCGATGGTTCCAAGTAGCCGCCATACCGCCTCAAAGACGTAGATATCTTTGATAATGCTAAACGATTTGTAACAGTATGGCATTTGTTTTTTCGAAAGGCAATGATACAATGTGACCATTCAGATATTTGCCATACTTATAATCAAGTGCAAAAGTGGTGCCATACTTGAAAACTAGTTTTCTGAAACGTCTTTCAGCTACAACTGGTACAAGGTCTAGAATTATTTGTAGCAGTATGGCATCATTGTATTCAGTTTGCGTCTATACGATTCTACCTGAAAAGATAAGATTAAAAACATAATAACGAAACGAATTGTAACAGTATGGCATTTCAATTTTTCAAAAGAAAGCAAGGTAATATGCTTCGGAAAAATTATGCCATACTTCTCGTGTAGTCTGAAAGTGGTGCCATACTTGAAAAACTAGTTTTATGAAACGTCTTCCAGCTACAACTGGTACAAAATCTAGAATTATTTATTACAGCATGGCATCATTGTATTCAGTTTGTTTCTATACGATTTTTCCTGGAATTAAGTATCCCATACTAATACCATGGGGCTGGAGACTGTCACATTTGCGCTAAGATGAGACCAAAAAAATAATAACGAAAAGAATTGTAACAGTATGGCTTGTCGGTTTTTTGAAAGTTTACAGAGGAATATGTTTCGGAAAAATTATGCCATACTTATCGTCAAGTCTGAAAGTGCTGCCATACTTGAAGAACTGATGGTTTTCTGGAATAGTTTTGACTGGTACAGGTCGTCGAAGTTCCCATTATAGTACATTGATACTGTAATGGTAATATTTTTTTATACTTTGTGCGTTGATATGAAACAAAGTTTCATGAAACTTGCTACAGTTTACAAGTCTTATGAAACTTATTCCTCCAATGTGTTACCTGCCTATGAGTCGGGTGGGACGGCCCCAACCGAGGAAAGAAATTTCGAGCTGCGGGAGCCGAATAGAATATTATAAAACATTGTTATATAAGAAGATTGCCACTATCATATACAGGGTGTCAATTTAAAAACTTCCCATTCCTATTATCTCGGAGTAGAAAAATTTTCGAAAAAATCCCTGAAACACGTTAACTATAATTTGAAGGGGGATGAGTTTTTATGCAAAATTCACCTTCCCTCTTTCAACCCACCAGCCCCCAGAGCCACCCTCTAGAAAATTTTAAATGGGAAGGGGGGTCAAGTGATACATCATTTCGGAGGGTGCTTAATTCCATACATTTTGGTAAAAAAATGTAATCCCTAAGTTCAACTGTTTTGGAAATATGGACAGTTGAAAATTGACTTTTTTGCAACTTTGACAGGCTGTGAAACCTAAACGGTTAATTTTGGAGGAAAACCGATCTTGCATTTTTGTCTTAGATTTTTATAATCATTTTTGAATTTAACCGGAGATTAAAATTTTTAACCGAAATTTTTGATCATGGAATAAATTAAAAGTTGCTGTCAAATGATTATAAAAATCTAAGACAAAAATGCAAGATCGGTTTTCCTCCA